CACACACACACACACACACAGAGACACTCACACACACTCACACGCGCGCACACACACACACACACACACAGGAGTGAAGTTTGCTGCATTACCGTTTCCGTTTGAAGGGAGACTTTGGCATGTCCGTGACCGGGATCATCTGCTCTCCGGGCCTAACCCACATGATGGGCCCATCGTCACTGTCTGTCGGGCTCTTCAGCTTCAGACTGGAGAACGTCCCCCACGGCAGCGTCCGCTACACACACACACACACAGATCAATATGCTGCTGCCAAAAGAAAAGTGTGTGTGAAAGACAGACAGAGGAAAACAAACCTCCAGGAAAGGCGACTTCTCCAGCATATTGAGGAACTCTGGGAAATAATCGCCCACCTCCTCGTCCACGGCACCCACCAGACTGATCTGCCTCATAGCACCGGCGCGGTACGTCCCGTGAGAGTAACTCCTCCTCACCTGAACACACACCACACCTCCACTGTCAAATATCATTGTTTCTGTATGTTATTTGTGTGATAAAAGTCCATTAAAATCTCCTGAAGTACAAATAAAGTATATTCTGAGCAAAAGACGCTCAAACTTTCAGCAGTTGTGAACACACAAACACACACACACACACACACACAACAGCAGCAGAAGACCAGGGTTAGCACGGTGATGCTAGAAATTAGAGATGAAATGGCATGAAAATTTCATATCACGATTATAGTGACCAAAATGATAACAGTTTTCAATATTATCTTGGTATTATTAAAATGTGCTGGAAGTTTTCTAAAAGTACTGAAACACACACCGAAATAATTTCACCAATTTTTATGTTGAAAACCAACAAACAACGAATAAAATTAACAGCACTGTGCACTTTTTGTTTGCATGAAAATTAAAATAATAACATTAAAAATGATGACCGGATTTTAAACAAACAAAAAATATTGGTTGGGTGACTTGCAACATAACATGATATCTACTGGCACTACATCTGCAAATAAAGTTTTGCGGCAAAAAAGTTTTTATAATATGATAAACCTCAGCCTTTAAATCAAATTGAACTCAGTCAAAATAATAAATTATAGTCATTTTATCTGCTCCGTAAACAATTCTGCATAGGCTACTTCATTATCTGAAGTGTTGAGAATTTTGTAAAGATTTACAAACAAAAGAATCGTGTCCCATTTTCGCATTGGTGTGAATACAAACAGCAGAGGGAATGAATGAGAATGTAGCTCCACTGTCTGACAGCAGGTGGCGCTGATGGAACAGCAG